GATCGATGGATTCCAGAGAAGAGAAAACTTTGAAGGCCTTTTTCTCAAAATGATGACTCGTTGACAGTCATTATATAATGTGACATATTTCGCTTAATATTTGGAGTACAAAAAACAATCCTGATATCATTAGAAAGCTAGGAATATCCTCTTTCCAACAGTGTATACAACTCAAAATGTGTCTTCGGGTCAATGCGACTGATTCCGATAGAGCGGGTCACAAATGGGCAATTTATGGGTTACAATTTTTTTTCTTTTTTTTTAAACACAAATGTATGAATATTGGTATTTTATGATCGCAACAAGATGTTGTTTTAAACATTGAACTCAATGAAAGTGAAAATATTCATTTAGAATTGTATTTTGACGGAAATATTTGTCTCTTTTAAGGACAGCAGAGCAACTGTTTTTTTTAGATTAATAAGAATGCACACAAGGGTTGATTTAATGAAAATCTGGTGAATATGCTACTCTAGTATATCTGTTAAGGTATTCTGTTTTATATTCTGTTAAGGTTGCTGAAAATGAGAGAAGAAGCGATCCACCAGATGAGAGTCCACTTCTACTACCAGCAGCTGCTTGAGTAAGTCATGAGTGTTTATTCAGTCAGTAATCTGTATCACACAGCAGCATTCTGACCTCTCTGCCTTTTTCTCTCAGTCAGTCAGTGTGGGCTCCACTCGACCTGCCGGCACTGGTGACAGAGAATATCCCCAATCCACCGGAGAGAATCTTCTGGAAGGCTGTGCTCCTCCTACCTAGCGACCATGACAATGAAACCAGCCTGGCAGACGGGTGAGCAGCTGCACAGAAAGATGATGAAAGGCGGATGTTTGAATTAGATTTCAATCAAAAACAATTCCGTGTGTATTCTCTCTGGTGTGTTGCCTTCAGGATCCTGTCAGACTGGCTGGAGGTGAAGCTTGGTGGGGGTAAAGACTCAGAGGGGATGGACGAGCAGCTGGACGGCGCACTACAGACCCTCTGTGTCACCAACACACTCCAGGATAGAGGAGAACACACCCACAAAGTTCACATCAGCATCAAGGTGAGATCCTGCTGACACAGACGGCTGCTCTCAAGAAAACAAAAGCGATAACTGTTACTTAAGCCAACAAATATTATAAATAAATAAAGTGTAGTGACAAAGTACATTCTAAAGTCAAGTTATTTTTTCTTTAATGGATTTTAACGAGGCTCTAGGCTTTTAGGGTTTTATCATTCTTGTAGTAATATAGGTTTTAGTGCATGTAAATGGTCTGCAAGGTTAAAATCCTAAATGGCATCACTACATAACACTCGCCCTTCTTTTGGTTAGTGCTCCAACACATTTTACGTGAAAGGCTAAGAGGCGGGACATTTCTAAGCGGTTGTCCAACCAGAACAGAGCCGGTCAGCTATCCAATCAGAGCAGACTGGGCTCTGGTTTCAGACAGAGGGTGAAAAGAGGTGTTGCAGCACAGGCAGTATGAGAAAAATAAAGAGCTTTGTGAACATTAAAGCATGGAGACATGTCCCAGTGGAGACACTACATACTGATATGAACCTGAAACTGAATAGATAGGGCCCCTTTTATAGGTTGGTTTAAAAAAAGATAAGCTTACAGATATATTTCATTATATATTGAGACTCTGTAAACACTCACGATGGTATTGAGAAATGTGTTTGTGCTTTACCTATATGAAATGACATGTACGACAGCAAAATTGTATCTATTTTGGGATATTTGGAGAAAATAGGGGTTAAGTATCTGGTCCAAGGACACTTTGACATGTTCACTACAGGGGATAGGGAACAAACCACTGCCTCTCTGAATGGTAGAGGCTCATTCAACACTTGAGCTACAGCCGGCCATATCTCTATACATATATCTCTTGTTTAGATGGATAATAACATGAAGTACCTTGCGTAGTCGCTCAAGTTTTCTGAATAGTCTTCTTGGTGTGTCTTCCAGGCGTCCCGGGGCCCTCTGTCTGAGGACGGCCTGTCCAAAGCAGAGGGGCTCAGTGAGCTTCAGGGGACAGCCGCTCTGATGGTGCTGCTCCCCGCCATGCCCCTCACCGAGCAGGAGGAGCAGGACATCCCCCTGCTCTCCGCCCTGCTGCAGCTTAAACAGCTCCAGCAGGCCAAAGGGAGCTGGCACTGCCCGCTGCCTCTGGCCGTCCTGGTGCCAGGGCCGGCCGGGGGCCCCGGGGACACACAGGAAATCGAAGAAGGTAATTAGTAATGATCACAATTTCATAAACAGATGTTCATGGTTTTAAGTTAATCCTTAAAACTCATTATGTAGTGTTATACTAATCTCAAACTCTTACCGTGAGACTTGAATTCATTATTTACTTATTTTTCATAAAGTTGTAATTATTTTGTAAATTATTCAATTTAATGCCAGTTATTTCCATCATGTCACTTTTTGTAGAAACATTTAAAAGCCTAACATTTCCGTAGAGATGTGATAGGGAGACAGTTATGGTCACTAGTACAAACACAATCTGGGATATTCAATAAACCATTAATGAAATGCAGGTGATTCCATTTGTTTGCGATAATTTAAGTTACATTCTCTATCAGCTAGTAGTTATGTAACAGCAGCTGAAGGGGACCTATCATGCAAAATGCACTTTGTGATGTCTTTTATACATAAATACAGGACTGTCTCAGAAAATTAGAATATTGTGATAAAGTTCTTTATTTTCTGTAAAGCAATTAAAAAAACAAAAATGTCATACATTCTGGATTCATTACAAATCAACTGAAATATTGCAAGCCTTTTATTATTTTAATATTGCTGATTATGGCATACAGCTTAAGAAAACTCAAATATCCTATCTCTAAATATTAGAATATCATGAAAAAGTATACTAGTAGGGTGTTCAACGAATCACTTGAATCGTCTAATTAACTCGAAACACCTGCAAGGGTTTCCTGAGCCTTGAAAAACACTCAGCTTGGTTCAGTAAACTAAATCACAAGTATGGGGAAGACTGCTGATCTGACTGCTGTCCAGACGACCGTCATTGACACCCTCCATCAGGAGGGTAAGACACAAAAAGAAATTTCTCAAAGAGCAAGCTGTTCACAGAGTGCAGTTTCAAAGCACATCCACAAAAAGTCTGTTGGAAGGGGGAAATGTGGCAGGAAACGCTGCACAACCAAGAGAGATGACCGCAGCCTTAACAGCATTGTGAAGAAGAGTCGCTTCCAGAATTTGGGGGAGCTTCAAAGACAGTGGACTGAAGCTGGAGTCCAGGTATCAAAAGTCACTGTTCACAGACGTGTCCGGGAAATGGGCT